CAGCTTCAAGCCGAAACAGAAACAAAAGCTGATGAAGCAACAGAAGAAATCAACGCAGAAACATCTGAAATCAAAGAAGCAGAACCATCCCGAATAGACGAAAATCCCCGAAATGTTTTTGAAATTACCGAAGATGAAAAGTTTTTTTCCCAACCTGAAACGCTCGATGACCGTTTGGAAAAAATCTCGCTGATGTCCGAAGACGAATTGGAAAAACTTTTGGAAGACGAAGAAGAAACTTACAAAAATTTGACCGAAGCAAATGTATCTGAGCCGGATTCGGAAGTGAAAACGGAAATCGAAAGTTCGGAAAATATACCGACTTTTTCTTCCGACTTAATTGAAGAAAAACCTGAACAGGAAACTAAATCAACCACGATGTTCGATTTTGAACCCGAAACGCAGGACGAAACGATTCGTAAAAGCGGCTTGGCATATTCGGCGGCAATCATTTTATTCGCTTCAGTAATTTTTATGATGATTTTAGGCTGGTTTGCCGATTTACTTTTGGGAAGCTCGCCGTGGGGCATCGTCGGTGGAATTATTTTAGGCGGACTCATCGGATTTATCCAGTTTTTCAGAATAGCTTCGAGTATCTTCAAAAAATAATCAAAATATCACGAAAAAAGCGGCAAGGCATTTCAGAAATTGAAATGCCTTGCCGCTTTTTGAAATAAATATTACTCCTGATTTCAGATTAACTGGGCGTAATAAATCCGCTCGGTGAACCGTTTGATGTGTTTCCGTCGATCATATTATTTCCCAAAGACAAAATATTTCCGCCTGCAAGCGACAATCCGGTTGAATTTCCCGTGATCGTGTTTCCTTCAATTCTGACGGTGCTGCCTGCCGCCGACGAAATTCCGGTCGTGTTTCCGCTTATCAGACAGCTTGAGACGCTTAATGCCGTTCCGTTTACGACAACTCCCGAACCGTTCGATGACAGAACCGAATCCTGAATCGAAGCTTTGACCGCCGCTCCTAAATTCAGTCCTACACTGCCGTTTTGAACGAGATTAGACTTTGATATAGCCAGATTCATCGTGGCAGTGCCTGTCAAAAATGAA